GATTTTGCTCCCCCAGTCTCGCTGTAATGATTGTCATTCCTCCAGCTCTGGCTCCAGGAGGCCAAGTATAACTCTGGTTGCCCTCCCACAAGGCAGAGGGCAGTGAAACTTTGAGATACAGGTTATGGAGGCATGGCTGACTTCACTGAGATTTCAAAGGTTGTACTTGAACTAAGTCCTTCCTAGAACTTAACTGAGAGCCATGGTAGTGAGCTACCACTGAGACCCTGAAAGTAGAGGGTCACCAGCATTACAAGTCAACTTGAGAAAGATACAGGCAAAAGACTCCAAAACATGAGAGGTACTTCATGGATTGAGTCCAGAGCTGTGGCGCGAGATTGCCTGAGGTCGTAGAGGACCAGCCCCTGTTCCAGTGTGACTGGAAAGAACAGCAGGGACAATCCCAAATCAGAAGTTTAGACATCGCTTGTTCTGAAGGGTTTTGGACTTGCTTGAGATCTGTTACTCCTTGAATCTTTCTTGTCTTAGAGAGGGTGACACAGAAGTCACATTCAACAGTTGCTTATTCTTGGCACTTTAAGGACTTCTAGGTCTCTTTAGTAATTCCCACCTATTGCAAAAAAAGGTCTCTGGTCACAGATAACAGCAACTGCTAATCTGTGGACATCAACATGAATATTCAGTAGGCATTTTGGCAGGCACATCACAACCATTCAGCAAAACATCATCAGTAGCTTCCCCACCAGGGACTATCCCCCTTTCTACCCTTTCTAGTTATGGGCTTTTGACCCAGTTGAGAGTGACAGGGATTTTCTCCTGTGATGTGGAGCTTGGATCTGATCAGAAAATGGTTATTTAGCCCCACCCCCAACACTCATACTTCTGTCACATCAGTGACATCTTGCCTGATCCGTCAGTCGTGGAGCACACAGGTCCACATCCAGCTAAGACCGTTGATGACTTGCCTCCCCTGCAGCCTGGAAGTTGATGTCTTGTTCTTCATTCCCAGGGTCTTAGCTAGGGGGAAATTCTCATCAGAATAAATTGTTATGGGAGTCTTACTAGGGCAATATTCAGATGAGACTTTGGACTTGTGTTTTTAAAGTTTGTGCCAGCATCATATGAGATTTGGAGGGGGGGTCAGAATAATGTATTTTGCACGTTAGATGAAGTTGGGAAGTCAGGTGTGGAACACTCTGGATTTGATGCATCACCCAGAATTCATGCAGCTAAAAACTTAACCATCAGTGCAGAACCATTGGGAAGCAGGGGCCTCAGTGTATTTCCTGAGGGTTACACCCTCCTCATTGGTCCATGCCATTATTAAATGGCTGATAGGAATGGAAACTCTCTCCCATGCTTGCTGCTCTGGGTCCAGCTTTGTAATAATGCAGAGAGAATCCTCCCAATACCAGTTCTGACTGTGGTCTTCCAATCCAAGCCTCCAGACTTGTGAGAAAAACCATTGCTATTCTTTTATAAATGACTATAAGTGTTATGAAATAGTACTATAAACAGACTAAGACAGCAGCTGCCTGGCTCAAGGGCCGGAGCTTCCCTTTGGATACATCTAGGGTAGTCAGGGGGCAAGTCCCCACAACAACGATAAACTTTTTCTTCGTGTTTGTTAGTAAATACCTAGAGAGCTATGTCTGGTGGCACAGGCCTGTAATCTCAGTACTAAAGAGGCTGAGACAGGAGGATGACTTTGATATCAAGGTCATCCTGGGCTACATTGCAAATCCCAGGTCAGAAAGGGCGTCATAGCAAAATATATAAAAAATTTAAAAAAACAAATCAATTTAATGATATCTAACAAATATCCATGTAAATGGCTGACTTTGATTTGAGAGTCACTTTTCTTCCTGAAGGTAATTCTCACTAGTCTCATGGATATGTGTGGTGTGTGTGTGTGTGTGTGTGTGTGTGTGTGTGCGCGCGCGCGCGCGCGCATGCGTTCATGTGTGAGTGTGTGAGTATTCTATGTTTTGGAAGTCACTATGAAGAACATAAGAGTTTGTGACCATACTGGTTAAAGTCAATCTACAAAGTCATTGCTATGAAAAGCCCATTAATATACATTTTGAAAATGTTTCTAGACCTTCCTTGGATTGTAGTCTTAGCCTGAGGCTACCTCTAAGGAAAGAGTCTTAGTGTCACATGTTAGAAAACCACGCCCATGGTGCATTCGGATGCTCACCACTCAGGAATCACTCCAGACTGCAAACGGACTTCGCAAGTCTACCAATAGAGTTAGTTACTACAGTGAAGGGTAACGGAAAGAGATAAGCTTCCTTGTTTCCTCTGCTTCTCAAAGTGAAAGGCAGAGAGAAGCAAGCAGGCCTTGACACCAGCTCTGCCTGGAAGGAAAAGGTCCTGCATCCTTTGAAGGACTCTCTAGACATGCAAGTAGATGGGGCAGGACATCAAAGAGTCAATTCTTCTTCACTGTTTGGCACTGGGGCTTATGGGATCCTTTCCTCACTGGGATCTGAGGAGAGATTGGTTCCTCTCCATCTTCTCAGTGCCTGCCATGGTCTCAGGACAGCCTACACCAACCCACTGGTGAGGTTAGGGCAGACTTTCTGGCTATGTGCTAACACTTAGTCTTGCCCGGTTTCCCCTGTGCAATGACTCTAGGAGTATTGAGGCCTTCCCACACTAAGTAACACAAGTTTTGTCTGGAGCCCACCATCAGAACTTTGCTCCTGCTGTGTAAGGTTTTGATTACTATGCAAAACACTCTGGGACAGAAAGAAAAGTGGAGAGTGGGGGGGGGGTAGCCTCTGAATGCCTCCTTTGTTCCAAGGCTGGTCCTAAGACTGCCAGAATTCCTCTGCTTCTTAGGAAGGCTCACCACACTTAGGCAACTTCTTCCTTTCGCCCTTCTAGAATAGAAGCAATTGAATTTTAAGGATGCTTAATAAGTGGTCTAAGACTCTTAACTAACTCTCTCTGATTCGAGTTCCATCGTGGATGTGAGAACTATGGAAAGATGGTGGCTGTCATTCAAATGCTTGTCCATTGGTTTGGGAAGGGATAGGCAACACTAAGACTTTGAGTGTGTGAGCCAGGATAGCTCTAGGGAAAAAACCACACATACATACAGACAAACAGACACTCCCTCTATAGCTAGAAATGATTCTCAGCTCCCATACAATGTACTGAACTCAGACAGAACGTTCTAGCCTGTAGATTTTGCTCCTCCTCTCCTCTTTCATTCCCTGCTGACTGATCCCAATGCCTATGATCTCAGGGAGCTAGAAATGAAACCATTTTTATTACATGAAAATAGCAACATCAAACCAGGACCTCGGTTTCCTAACAGCCTCCCCACCCGTCACTAACCTCAGTGATATATAGGAGATTAGTGCCTTAGACTTGGATCTGAGACAGTATAAACAGCTTACATCCTGCCACTGTGTAGCTGGAATTTGGCAATTCAACCAACCAAACATTTTGGGATTAGGAGACAAAAGAGGTAGCAGAGGTTTGGGAAGTGTTTCGTACATTTACATATGCATCACTCTTTTGGTATGTTTGAAGTCTGGATACCAGTGGTGGTCAGCTTCTTATGTGGAGAGAACCTTAGACTTGAAAGAAGAAACTAGTCTGCTTGGGCTTCCCAGCTCTGCAGTCTGTTAACTCTGTGTTGTCAAGGAACAGAGGAAAAATATGGCGGGCAAATCTCTATCTGTATGTTGTCACATGCAAGAGTTAGAGTATCCGAGCTGGGGAGGTGGCTCAGTGGGAAAGTACTTACTGTTCAAACATGAGAACCTGAACATGAATCCCTAGCACCCACATCAAAAGCTAGACATGTCAGTGCACATCTGTAACCCTAGAACTGGGGAGGATGAGACAGGGGCATCCTTGGAGCTTCCTGTTTAACTAGCTGGATCTGAGGTTTCCATGTTCTTATAGTGAGAACTCTGATAGTGGATGATCTTCCTATGATAAAGATACCTAATACCAATCACTTGCTTCCATAGGTACACACATAGACACACACACACCACATCACCCACACATAATATACCACACACCACATACATACACAACACATACCACCCACCCTCCCATACCCAACCACATACCTACACACCCCCAATTTCCTTACCCTCCACAGAGTACTTTCAGAGAGAAATTGGGAAACGTTACCAATTTATATTCCTTGTCTCTTAATATTACAGAATAATTTAACTAAAGAAAACAATGAAGGCCGATTGTTAGTGCATAGAACACGGGTAGCACTCAACCGGCAATCCAAACCTTGACTGATTTCCACTGGGTAGTATTGCTTGTTATCATCCTAATCTACAGCTGGGAATGCCACACGTAATAAACTGAGTTATCATTTTCAGTTTTGATATCCTGGGAAAACAGCCTTCCCTGTGATTTCCAAGATCTCGGCAGTTTTCTCAAGAGACCCTGCAGTCATTTCTATGAACTAAAAGCAAAAGCAAACTGGACCTTAGAGTAGCAGTACTGGTTTTTACCCTAATACAGAAGAGTGTCAGACAAAAGCAACACACTTCCAGACTAGCCTAGGGTGTTTTCATGACTAAGAATAAGAGTGAAGGAATTTCCTAAGCCCCCACGGAAGAGTCAGGTCTTGCAATTCATCATTAACCACAGAAAACATAGACTTTTTATAATGAGCAGTGTTTATGGCTATCTGTTCTCCTCACTTAGCCTGGAATATGCCTTGTAGTTTATGGAAATAAGCAGATTTTAGCAGCATCTTTGAACTCTGAATAAGGAACACAACAGGCTGATCAGGGCAGTATTAAATCAGGATAAAGGATGGGGCTGGTTGTATCTGTGCCCTGCAGCTAAGGATACAAAAGCAGAAGACAGAAACAGCCCACAGCTGGTAGATACCCAGTAGCAGCTGTGTTGGCACAATTGCCCTTTCTGACCATTGAACGGCATAAGTAAAAGGAGAACTTTTACTACCTGGGTGTAAGTTATCAGACTCCCCATCATTTCTGGGTCCTTGGGAAAACTCAGTCTGAAGAAAGCATTTTCTTCCTTAGCTCCTGGCCTGGCTTGTGGCAGTCTGAGAAGATGCTGCTGCACATCATCCAAGGGCTTTCCAGCTCTGAGAGAAAAAGGAGAGATGGAGGGCAGTTTATAGAAGCCATTTTCCTCCAGACAGGTAAGGAAACCAAACGTGGTCGTGCAAAGAAAATGACTGTCTTCTTGTTTGTCCATTTGCTTGGCTGTTTGTTTGAGACAGTATCTAATGGAAAGTGTGTTACCTGGGAAATTCAGAGTTCTCCTTTGGTGGTCACCATCTTATTGATAAATAAATTTCAAAACAAATTGAGGAGGAAACTTAAGAATACCTTTATTAGTTTTTGAGAAAAAAACAACAACAGGGCAGGTGAGCTGTAAAACCTGTCATCTGCCGGAGGGAGAGAGAAAGTCCTGCCTTCAAGAGAACAGGCAAGCCAGTAAGCCGCTGTTTGGTGGTAGGGAGAGGACCTTCAGAGAAAAAGGAAGAGATCCCTGATAGCCAGGGAAAGCATGCTTAGGCATTTGGCCGATATCCAAAAGAAAGAAATAGAAAAGATTGTGCTTCTCCAATTAAAACTCTGGAAGGCAGGTATGCTCTGCAATATTCCACAATGGAAGCCCGGCAAAGGGCTGCATGGAGGGCGGGACTTCCGGGCAGGAGAAGCCATCCTCTCATCCACAGTGCATTAGCGCTCCCCTCTCCTTAGCACATCTTTGGGTAAATCAGGAGATGGACTCCCTGTCAGCACTTGGTGGGCCCAGCTGGGTTTAATGATGTGGGAGTTATTTCTTTCTGATATGTTGCTTTCATTGGTTAATTAATAAAGAAACTGCCTAGGCCCATTTGATAGGCCAACCCTTAGGTGGGTGGAGTAAACAGAACAGAATGCTGGGAGAAAGAAAGCTGAGTCAGGAGCTGCCATGATTCTCCTACTCCAGATAGACGCAGGTTAAGATCTTCCCTGGTAAGCTACCTCGTGGGCTACACAGATTATTAGAGATGGGTTAGATCAATATGTAAGAGCTAGCCAATAAGAGGCTGGAACTAATGGGCCAGGCAGTGTTTAAAAGAATACAGTTTCTGTGTAATTATTTCAGGTAAAGCTAGCTGGGTGGCGGGATGCAGCCCCGCTGCTCCTAACACAACAGTTTAACCCTTAGAAGGAGGAGATGATAGTATGTAGCATGTTGGGTGGCTTAGGATCTCAGATCTCCACCCTCTGTCAAAGGTGAAAGACACAGTCTATTCCTCTGACCAGGAGCAAGCAACTTTCCATTAGTGGTCCTAAACATATATATGTTATTATATGCTATTTTGTACTGCATATTTGTGCAGTGTTTGCAGCATTGCCTATAATATCAATGATATCAATTAACTATGAAAAGTGTTGAAGATGTTCTATGCCCTAGTATCTCAATCAAGATTTAATTCTTTACAAAAATAATAAACAAACCTACTGACAATTTTCTTTAATCTTTAATAAATGTCTAATTATGTGTATAATACAAAATGTTTCAGAATATATTTATTTATGATTTATTGCTTGTCATTGTTTGATTTGTATACCTATTTTATACGCCCGTTCACACAAAGTCATATAAAGGTTATTCAGGGCAAATAGAGAGGATGGAGTGGAGCAGAAAAACCTTAGGAGGCTCGGTCCTAAATGACATCTTTCAAAGGCAGGCACCGTGAGCTATGGCCTGGTGTGCACCCAGATCCCACCTCACAGGACTTCTGACATGGCTTAATCCTATGTTTCTCGGGGCCCGGATCTGAAACCATGAAATGTGCAATATTTATTTAATGTCAGACCAGATCTTTTTCTGGAGTGATGTTGTGACCACGGAACTGAAACCGGTTTTGAGACGAAATGCTAGCCCTGTACCCAGGTTGGCGCATCCCTCTTTCTATTTAAAGGCACTGGTAATATGTCTGGCTACACAATGTATTTTGATCATTTCTAAAAGCCGTTTTTCTCCTTTCTCCTTTCCAACCACAGAAATATGTTGGGAGTGTCATAATTGTTTTTCTCTTTGGAACCTTAGAAAAGATTGTTTTTATGATAGAATCTTTCTAATGTCTCTCTCTCTCTTCCTCTCTTCCTTCCTGCCTTCCTTCCTTCCTTCCTTCCTTCCTTCCTTGCTTCCTTTCTTTCTTTTTAATTTGCCAATGACTGCCATACCAAACCCCAGTCTTGGCTCATTGTCTTCAGAGTTCTAACTTGTTCTGTCTGGCAAGTGGGCATGGTTGGGATGCCCAGAATATTTTCTTCCATGGTTTGTTTCAGAAGCTGATCAGATGAAGAACTTCAAAGTTGAAACCCCTATGGTCTAGGAGATGCTAACAGGTGTTGGCTATTACCTGAGTGGTATTTCAAGATGCCATAGTATCACAGGCTGTATGGACCAAGAAAGGCTAGTTTTCTAGTGCAAGGATAACTGTTACTCAAGGATCCCAAACTAATGATTGTCAGAATTCACAAGACTTCTAAGAAGCTGTTTACAGATGACCATGTCATGGCGATGGTTTAGAAGGGCAAAGGGACTGAAGTGGATAGTCTGGGTAACCTTACTTGCAAAATGCTCCATAGTTTGGAAGGCAGAGGCTAAGCTACAGTTTCTATGGCATTAGAAGGGCACCCAATATTTTTTTGAACTATAAAGATGCTTGGAATTAGCACAGAAGAACAAACAATTGCCATCCTGAAGGATTATGGGTGTTCAGACATCTGGACAGCATTAGACATGCCAAAAATGTGTAAGGAGATAAAGGAGTGAGTTCTTAATTAGGAAAACTTTTTTTAACCTTTTACCCAATTATTTTCAAATTCTTCAGGTTATACATTAGAGCAATGTGACTAGAATAAATTATCTTGTTTATGTACATAAGTTGGCAAATATTTGTACAATTATAAAGATTTATTTGTGTAAACATCCACTATGAAAAATATGAAAATCGCTGTAATAGATGATTGTTATTAATAAACCTAAGAATCTTTCAGATTGTTGTTATCAAAGAATTTAAGATAAAGGTGGAGTAGGAGTTATTCTTTGGAAATTTGATAATAACAGGGGTGGTTCTAATCAATGACAGAATATGTCGGACTAGGCATATATACAATAAGGATGAAGGGAATAAGCGAAGATGGGTTGTTCTGATGATGTGAAATTTCCCTGCAGACTCACTATAGAGAAGGATGTTGGTTAGATCCTGAAAAGATCCTGTGATGAAGAAATAAACCAGCCTGCAACCTGCCTGCTTCCCCCACCATCCACACACACACCTTCACAGGATGGAATTCTTTGGAGAACCAGGCAGTCCTGAGGAGGAAGACCCACGGTCCATCACGTGGAAAAAAACCCAGACCTTCAACCTAATCAGTCATCAAAAAGAGACTAAACATTGAAAAAGAAAAAAAAGAGAGACAGAAAGAGAGAGAGAGAGAGAGAGAGAGAGAGAGAGAGAGAGAGAAAGAAAGTTAGAAAGGAAGGAAGGAAGGAAGGAAGGAAGGAAGGAAGGAAGGAAAGGTTTGGGAAAGAAGGCAGTGGGTATATCTTCAGACCTGCTAAATATGGAAGGGGGAATACCCAAGAGCTGTTGGGCTGACCAGGACAAGGAAAACAGTGTCTAATAAGCAATATTCAAGTCAGGAATTTGAAAAATGAGGTTTCAGAAAGTGGTCAGGACCTAATTAAAAAGCAGAGAACCTTGAAAGCTTATAACTGAAGCTCAGAGTTGCTCCTCTTGCCGTAGGAAGCAAATGAAAGCTGCTTGTCTGTGGGAAGAACGAAACCATAAAAGATTATCTTCTGCTGGGGTGATGGCGTGGCCGGCCATGAGTAAGACCCGCAGTCCCTGCCATGTTCTGTGAGAGACCCTTCCATGGATCTCGCACAAAAGGCTTAGATTTGATGGCACCGTGAGGTTGGATACAGGAAATTCGATACACAAATTACACAGCCTCACTCTCCTATCTTCACTTTGTATTGTGAACATAATCCACGAATCTATAACAGTAGTGAACATATACTAAGCTCTCAGGCATCTCCACCCCACTTCAGGGGTGGAGGTTCTGCCAGTCTTGTTTCTCCCCGCCCCTTTCTATTCCCACTGTCTGTAAGTGCGTTTGATCATTTATTGCAAAATCTCTTCAGCCTTATGGAAATACTGCAAAAACAATGACCCAAATTCCCTTGTACTATTTTGCTAGACTTCCCAACCATTAACTTTTTCTCTTTATCTATATTCATATTTACAGTGTGCACAGAATTCTTGCCCATGTTAATGGGGTACATTGTTATGTTTTGACTCGGGTGTGCACTGAGTTGTAATCAGCTCATGGTAATCAGCATATGGATCATATTGCATATTTTGTGTGTGCATGTGATTTCTTGTGGTGAATACATTCAAATATTCTAACTAGTTTAAGGGACATAATGATAGATATTTTAAAAACAATTTAAAAAAACCCAAAAGTTGCTGACTATAGGCACAATATACTCATCTCTCTCACCTCTCTCTCCTCTCCTATTTCTGTCTCCCTCTCCCCCTCTCTGCTCTCCCTTTCCCCTCTTCTTTCTCCCCCTTCTCTCCTCTCTGTTTTCCCTCACCCCATCTACTCACATCTACTCACTTTCTCTTCCCTCCTCTATCCTCTCTCTCCCCTTTCTGCCCTCTCTCTCTCTCTCTCTCTCTCTCTCTCTCTCTCTCTCTCTCTCTCTCTCTCCATTTAAGAGTGGTAGAATCTCTCACAGATGCTTACAATGGCCCCATCTTTTCCATCTGAGAGTCTGAGTCCTTCTCTTGGACACACACAGTCTTTGAGCTCACAACGTAGTTTCCATGCCACAAGGCTAGAAAGAAGCGCTTCTCTAAGGATCACTGTTTTCTTGTAGGGAAGAATGATGATATTCCAAAATGAAAATATGGGTATTAGGTAGAATCATGCTTTTTGCTCCTCACTTAAAAGACATCGTTAGAAAAAAATGTGTATATGAAATTATAAACTCATACAAAACCCTTCAGTTTGAATTCAGTACCATGTGGTCTGTTTGGTTTATTCTAGTCTTACTTGTTTGAACCGCTATCCACAATATCGTTTTTATATGAATTGTCATAATTTTACGTGTGTTGTCTAAACAACTCCATTCAATATAGCTGAACTCTCAGGTAGATTTCGTCAACTGGTTAGATCTACTCCTGCAGAGAAGAGGAAGAAAAATGCCAAAGATATTCACAAGGATGGGTACATTCTCCCACAGCTTTAAACACAGAGGCAAACACAGCCCATGGAGATGTCGCCTGGGCAGTGAGGGACCAGAGTCACAGCACATCTGTCCTTGAATGAAGTTTATTTTCTTAGACTAAGTATGGACTGCACATTCCAGCTGCTAGTGCTTCCCCTGAAGAGTGATGTGCAGAGACTGCCAACAGCCAGTAATGGAGGAAACAGCTGTGTCTAGAGAGAGGACAAACCACCCTCCCAACTCCTTCATCTCCTCTCCTCCCCCAAGGGCAACAAGCACACGATCTATGCACCAAGGAGAAAAAAAGACTCCTGGCTGTTGGTTGGGAAGCCCATTGGAAAGTGAAAAACTTCTCTATAAGGAAATCACGTTTAGACTGAATTTTTCCTTTCCATGATGGTTCAAAGAAATGGTGATTGAAAATCAATGGTCACAATAGTTTGTGAATTGCTTGAGTAGATTTATTCAGAATTCTCTAGAGAAGCAATAAATATAGATTAAGGGGAGATTTATTAGATGGGTTTACATGATACAGTCTGAGTCTGGGTCTCAGTAGTCAAGAATGGCTGGTCTTCATAGGAGAGAGACTGAGAACCTGGTAGCTTCTCAGGGTAGAAGGTCAGGTACCTCAACAGTCCCATTCTGGTACTGAACGCCTGGTGATTCCTGGGGAGTCACATTTCTTCGGTCTGTATTGAGGAAGCTAGATTCTGATGTCCTTAGAGGAGGGCAATAGCAGCAGCAGCAGGCAGATGAGCTTGGCTTGAGATCTGAAGGCAAGCAGGTGAAAAGCGAGGTTTTTTTCTTGAACCCCCTTTTATCTGGGCAGCCACTGGAAGGTGTTATCCATATTTGTGGTGGGTTCTCCCATTTCAAGTCACCCGAGCTAAAAATCTGCCACAGCTGCTTCCAGCAGTTTGTCTTTTCGGAGATCCCAGACCCAGCCTTCTTGACAACCAAGATTGTGACTGACATACGTGAGCTATCCACCCTCTCTGTGGGGACTTCCCTTAGAGGATTACTTCCCTGGTCAACGGTGTAGTTACAGTACATTTCCTACGTGTCAGACACTGCTGAGCCCTTGGACTTTGGGATGGACCAGGAGAGCCCATACTGCAGTCACCATGAGCAGAGGGCTTCTTCTTCTCTCACAGATGGGTTGTAGCTCTGAGTGTGCACACTACTATGTCTTTAAAGCAAGTCCCTGCACACTGCGGCTGAGGTGAGGCCCAGTAGCTTCTGCTATCCTCACTTACCCTCTTGTCCTCTCTCCTGCTGTCTAGCATGCCCCTATTTAGTATTGCCTTTGATTCTCTCTTAACAGCTTTATGGTTTTTGTAGAAGTTACACTAAACAGACATACATCTTGTCAAGGTGTTGATGTGAGAAGATTGTGGCAGGTGAAATGACCATGGTATTACTTAGCAGCTGACTTACAGTTAGATCTATGGGAACTCATAAGAAAGGAGGGAGATTAAAAGAAGATGAAGGCAGGGGATCTTAGCAAACACCAGCAGCAATTTCATGCTTTTCTGACTGCACAGCCTGAAGACAGCTGGGAGCAGTGAAGGACATGTTGTTCTACCAGGTTCTGCCAGGTTTCTGAACATTTTTTCAAGAGGAGACAATGACAGAATTCTCAACGAGGACTATATCCTAACTACCTACTGTCTTACTCCAGTAAATAGGAAACAGGTTTACTGTCCATGGTAAAAGATACCCCACGTTCCTCAGCTCAGGACGTCTCTTCCGTAACGCAGCTCTGTGTGTGAAGCCATACTGGTCACCTGAGTGCCACTCTCTGTGAGGTGAGGCAGGAGATGGTGGTGCAGCTCCAGCTACTGGTGTGTGTGTGAGAGGGGGGAGAGAGATAATGAGAGAGAGAGAGAGAGAGAGAGAGAGAGAGAGAGAGATCCTTTGTCAACGACGAGAGAGAAGACTCAAGTCCTTTATTCGAGCCATGAAACTGGAAATGTTGCTTGTGAGCTTGAATGTAGGCTGCAGCCTCTGATTTCCCACTCTTTTCCTGCTGAAGATCAGGGCCAACACTGATGACTAGAACCAGCCTCTCAGATTTGTCCTCCCCGTGACTGTCCACTGTGCACAGGCCAGCTTTTCTGTGTGCACCTGCTGACCATCAGTCTATAGAGAGAGAAAACGGATTGACGCTGTCTTTCTTGTCAGCAGCTACCACCTGTTCTCAGAGAACTATGAGTGACATCACTTGATCCACAGTCTCCAGAACATGTCTGTACTTACAGGTAAACCTACATTCCAAGCTAGTAAGGGTATAATCCAGCCAAGTGGTGGTGGCACAGACCTTTAATTCCAGCACTGGGGAGACAGAGGCAGGCAGATCTCTGTGAGTTTGAAGCCAGGCTGGTCTACAAGAGCTAGTTCCAGGATAGACTCCAAAGCTACAGAGAAACACTGCCATAAAAGCAAAACCAAAAAAAGAGTGTACTCCAAGAAACCATGCACAAAATCTTTGTGAACATATCTCCTTTAAAATATAAACAACTTAATGAAAATTGTAGTGACAATAGTTGTTTCAAGACTTTCATGAATGTCTTCATATGCCCTCAGTTTTATCCTCCTTCTCCATCCCTTCTTATCCAACTACAGCATAGATCTAGGGCAAAGACAAATAAAACATTCCTAAAACAGAAGCTAGGAAGATGAAAGGATCTAACTCCAGAGGTTTAAAGGGAAGTTGTAGCAGGTTTTCCTCGACCTCCAGCCCCCAAATCATGACAAGGAGACTTCTTACCAGTTATGAATGCCTGGCTTAGACTTGTTTCTGGATAGCTTAAAAAAATGTAAATGAACCCATTTCCATTCATCTTCGTGCTGCCCTGAGGCCCATTTACCTCACCTATATACCGCCCATCTTGCTTTCCTGCTTCCGTGTGTCTGGCTGGCCTCCAAGGGGCCCGCTGCCTGCTTGCTGGCTCCCCTTTTCTCTCTGCCTCCCAGCCCTGACTATCCCTTCTCTGTCTAGCTATTGGCCATTCAGCTTTTTATAAGACTAATCAGCTGCCTTAGGTAGACAAGGTAAA